TGGGTGTTGGGTCAGTTATTATTGGATGTGGTAATAAGGAGACAGCTAGAGAACTTGGCTAGGGTAGGCTAGGTAATAATTTCATCAATTTGCCAATTCTAGTCCCTGCTCCCACCACCTGTCTCTCAGTTTGTCATATTGTAGTGGCTTGTGTGTTGCTGTGATGCTGGAAGCTAGGCCACCGATATTTCAAACACCAGCAAGGTCACCCGGGGTGGACAGGTTTCAGCGGAGCTTCCATACTGAGACAGACTATGAAGAAAGTCCTGGTGATCTACTTCTGAAAGTTAGTCAGTGAAAATCCTATGGATCACAACAGAACATTGTCCAACTCATTTAGCTTGAAAGCCTCATCAGGAGGAGTCAATCAACAATAGTAGCAATAATGGACTGGAACGTGCTAGCAATTGTGAGAATCACACAAGACTGGACAATGTTTTGTTCTGTTGTTGAGTCTGAATTGACTTGATGGCAGGTAGCAACAACAACATAACAATCCCTGCTCACATCTATGTGGCATCAGGCAATACTTCATGAGTGAGGGAAAAAAATAAACCACCTCATAATCTGAATTACAAGATAAATTGAAAATTTGAAGCATGTGCTTTACAAGGGTGATTGATATATATATCCATGACTTTCTAAATCACCACCTTCGTGATTCCTTCAGCATATTGTTTAACTGGAATATTATGGGGCATAGGTTAAGAGAGGTGGGTTGGGGATTGGAAGTTACGTAGCAGTTGATCATCTAAGATAAAAGAGAATTTAGGTAGTTGTGTTCTTTTACATAAATCTGCATTTTATTGTTACTTAAGAGTTCATAGTACTATCATTAGGCTCTTCCAGGCACTCCTTGAAATTATTTCTATTGAAAGAATGAAAAATAAGAGTTTCAATTTTTGTTGTACTAGGGAGGGAGACAATGCTTAAAGGATAAAAGAATCTGTTTTTTTTTTGTTTATACAGCACAGTAGATAAGAGTTTGCACTCCAGACATAGTCCTGCCTGCTCTGCCACCGACCAGGGTCCCTGGCCTTCACAGAGCTATATGCACCAGCAGAGGAAAAGCTCACACTTGGCTCACATTCAACTTTTATATTTTCCAGTATACAAGGATTACTATAGATCTGAGTCCCACTCCTGAAGAACCCAGGAAAAGATATTATAAAAGCCCTGTTAATAATGAAACAGGTCTGTCTTACATCCATCTGCAATCTCTTCCGAGTGAACTTATCATGAGATGTGGAACCTCACATGTGAGCATGCTGGAATCTTGAGGCTGGCAGGCAGATGTAGGAATATGGCTGTAAAGGGTGGAAAGAGAGAACAGTAGGGGTGTAGTTGTCATTGTGGTTGTTCACTGCTATTCTGGTTCCACTCCTCTTTAGGCACATGGTGGAAGTCACTTTCTTATTACCTGAACTTGGGTGTGTCCATGATACTGGCTTTGGCCAATCGAATATAAGTAGAAGTGCTATGTGCCATTATTGGCCAGAAACCTTTAAGGGAGAGTGTGATTTGCCATGTTTCCTACCCTTTGCCATGTTGGTTATGGAAGCTTGTGTCAAGATGGAGCCTCCATCTACCTGGGTTCCTTAAGATGGGCAGATCCCCCCATCAACCTATTATAAACATATAGCATAATGACAAACAAACCGTCATTGTTTTAAGCCACTGAGATTTTGAGGTTATTTATTATTGCAGCATAACCTTGCCTATTCTGACTGATTTAAGGAGTTTTCAGGAAAGATCAATTTTTGAAGGCAAAGAAGGTCAGATTTAGGCCAGTGATATCTACCAGAGTGAATTCAGGGAACAATATGAAGATGAGAAGATACCAGAAGCAAGGATCATCGATGGAGAAAGAGATGCCAGGCAGGAATTCGGTGAGGGTCTTAAGGTCCAAATCAATGCAGCTGACAATTTGAAAATGGATTCTAGTTCTAGCAAGGAATGCAGATGTCTCAGGGGACAGGTTAAGCAGAAGACCTGGACACACAGAGTGGGTGTTAAGATAGGAGGTTGTCTCTCTATGCCATGTAGGAACTTAGGTTTTTACAATGGACTCCAAGTATCAGGGTAGTATCCTTGCAGATATCATTTTCATTTACTAAGACCCTGGTCTTGCCCAAGCTTGCAATTCGCATGTCATTACTTTGAACATTTGGTTAGGACTAGAGCAGGCAGTGCCTAAAATAGAGAGCAACTGGTAGTAGAATCTATCTGACAATGTTTCAAAGCTTTATTTACTAGAATATTTTCATTAAGTCAATCCTAGCTTTCTCTTTCCCATATCAAATGATAACTGTGCAAGGAATACTATGGGTTTTATTTTCTAAAATTAATAACCATCTTCCTCACTTGCTTTGGGAAGAGGATGGGGAGGGTCACTCCTAATTTTGCATGAACTGATGAACCTGAAAACAAAATGTTTTATATTATTATCACGGTTGTTGATTAAATCTGAAATTGATTCTTTGGACTAAATTGTCTGAAGTTTCTAGTTCACAATGAATCACTGTATAGTGTGTCCTGAGTAGATCTGACCATTTTTAAAAATCCTACCATATGAAAAACTGTGATAAAATTTTGCAGCTGTTTTCACACTAACATATTGAACTCCATATATCCCAAATTTGTATTATGTTTTCCTTATTAAACAGTATTTATAATTTTCTAGAATTTTACAATTTTTTTTTTCTAATCTCTTCTAGTTGTATTATTGTACATTCCAGTTGGGCATATTAAGGCACGGTGAATTTCACAAAATTACAAAAAAGGTATACCTGTTTTAAATAGACATATTTAAAAAGTATTATTGTTTTCATTTCCTTAATTCTAAAACAGCAATGTAACAGAAAGGGAAAATAATACCCCAAATGGGACTTGGGTCGTATATTTTGCTCTCACCAATTGTTTTTTTTTGAAGGAATTAGAATTTGTTACAGTGATAAGTTATGGGATATAGAAACGTGTATCCTAGGGACCCTTTTCCCTTAATGTGCATTTTTTTGACATTTTCCTCAAAATTCAACATTAGGAAAGAATTTTAGGTGGACTCTGGCCACTTACTTTTAGGTGCTGGTGCCAACGTCTTTTTTGGATCCTAACTGCCATCCAAGTGTGAATGGAACACAGTTTTGAGGAAGTGTGGAGAAGAGGTGAAAGTCCAATGTGACTACAGTGATTGTAATTCAGCTACCCATGTCCTCTTTGTGGAAGGCAAATGTTGGCTTTCTCACTGTGCCCAATTAGGATTCCTTACAGTATTGATGGGTCCCTCCATACTCTATAGTTCTATGTGTGTGAGGAACTCTGTCTGAACTCCTGCATCACTTGTGCTCCCTGGGCCTCCAAGATATCTAGTGCCTCAGAAATCTAGTGCCAAATACTACCTAAGAAAGAGGAGCTGAGGCTGTAGAATATTCAGTTCTTCAGAGATTATTAAACTACCAGATTACATGTTGAAATGCTCATGGACTTGTTTACTGGATTGTATGCTTTGTATTTTTTTAATTCATTAATATATTCTCTTCTCTATTATTTACTTCCCTGTACTTTGAGTTTATTTTATCATTATTTTTCTAACTCCTACAAATGAATATATAGCTTTTTAGTCATTAATTTTATGCCTTTTTGCATCTTTAATATATACATTGAAATATATAAATTTCACTCTAAACACTGACTTAGCTGCATCCCACAAATTTATTTTTTTTAATTGTCATCTAATAAAAAATGTTTTAAAATTTGTAACATAAAATTTTCTTTGCTCCATAGATTATTAAAGCAGCACTGTCCAACAAAAATATAGGGTGAGCAACACGCTATTCACATTTGTAATTTAAAATTTAAACTTTAAATCTCAGTATTTGTTGGTTTTAAGGTTCCCTTTGGTTTTGCTCAATGTGAATCCTCGATTTTGCTACCCCAAACAACTTTTTGTCTCGTTCTTATTGGCTCCATCTCCTTGCCCATGATCTTTACTCCTCCAATCCTTCTACTATTAATTCTTTTGGCTTCAGACGGTATGATCTTGCTACTGTCTAACACTTGTCCTCCATTACACTGGTGGAAATAGCACTCTGTGAAAATCAGCCATTCTCAAATATTCAGAGACTACTTTGCAAAAATGTTCAATTCTCTTTTTGCTTCAGAGCTGGGAACATTTTTAAAAAATCATGTAAATTTGATTATTTCACAAAATCACAAGTTTATTCCTCCTCAAACTAAAGTATATGTGTATTATTCTTGTCCCACTCATAACGCTTCCTGGAAGCTTCATGTAGTTCAACCTTATAAACTTCACATTTCATCAGTAGGAAATATTTCTGATGAGTGAACAGTGTTGGTCTTCAAAAATACATGAGACATACACATCAGCTTAGACCACATCCAATACTTTATGATAAGAATTGGAGAACAGTGTTCTCCATTTAGTCAAGCCTACTGAATCCCTTATTTCTAACTAGTCCCTTAGTGGGGACTGATTACTCTGGGGAAATTTTATTCATAATACTTATGATTCAGTTTTACCTACAGTGACATCCGGGGCAGAAAGGTGACTATTTGGGAATTGGGCTGGCATGCGCTAACCACTAGTTTGTTCCAGGTACTCAAAAATGCATCCTCAAGGGAAGAGATGGTTAAAAAGAAAGGAAGAAAGAGAAAATAATCTTCTTCCCCCCCATTTGGTGCAGTGTCCAATACCCAGCAGTTGTGTTTGAAAACTTTTTTTATATACCTTAAGCTTTCTCCTAGCTTACTCAAGGCCAGTCTCTGAGCTGGCGGTTACTGCAGACTTTCCTGAATATCCAAAAGTAATGTTAGTCCGTCACCATGCAGATGTAAAAGACCTGTAATCTTAAAACCACCAACAGGTTCTTTCCCAGCATTAACTGGTGTTTTGACTGCAAGCACTATCTGAGAGGGAATAAAAAATAATACAAGAATGAATAATGAATTATGATAAAATATCTGAGAGAGAATATGAATGTGTGTGTGTGTATGTGTATGTGTGAAACATTCTTTTGTACTGAAAAAAAAGTATGACCTTGGTAGAACCGGGGAGTTGAGAATGTCCCTTTAACTGTGGGACTGAAATTGATTTCTGTATGTTTTCTGGTATTCGTCCCTTTGAAAGGAGAACAAGAGCCAAGATCACTGGCTGTATTGTGGAGCTGTCACATCTCAGCACTGAAAAGGTACAGTGCAAGTGAACTGAAACTGTCTTTAGCTTTCTATTACACATCGCCAAGAGCTTTGAGAATGATGAACGAAGTGAATGGTTTATTTAGGGCTAAGTGAGATACAGATCCCTCCAATCTGACAGCGTCTCAGCCTCCGGAGTGAGGAAGCAGCAGAAGCAGCAGCAGCAGCAGCAACAGCAGTAGCAGCAGCAACAGCAGCAGACTCTGCTGAAGTCCAGTAGAAGAGACTTGATCTCTAGCTCATCCTGGAACTCCGTTTGGGATCGTGCACTGTCCAGGGTCCTGCAACATGAACCAAACTGCCAGCGTGTCCCATCACATCAAGTGTCAGCCCTCAAAAACACTCAAGGTAGGACCCAGGTTTTGGCTCTTTTCTGTGCTTCTGTACATGTATCTTCATCCGTCTACCTAAAACATGGGCATTGGTGTGCCAGGGCATTGCCAGTGGAGATATCTATTTGGTTTGAGTTTGAATTGAAAGTTGGATTTGAGTAAAGTGTTTGGTTCTGTTTGGGTGTGTATATAAACTGGAGAGAATAGTTTCCACTAAACATGTTTTATCTTGATGACTTTGACTTTTTGACTGAGAATCTATTGGTGGTATATTTCAGGAAAAAAGTTTAGTGAGCTTCTGTAAGAGTTTCTAGTCTGTGTCAATTTTCTGGCTGGAACTGGTGAATTTGCAAACTGCTGGAAATAGATAGTTTTAAATTGGCAACAGATTCTATAACAGCATCTCTTTGTCTTATAGATTTGGGATTTCTTATCCTTTCCAAAGAAAAGGACAACCCTTATTGTGAGCATTGAACTAGTGGTTATACTAAAGTGATTATGGAAGAGCGTATGAAGGACTATAGAGTGTATGAAAGCATGCTTTTATGTGTGCCACCATAGAACTCAAAACCAGTGAGATCATTGGAGACACTCTTTAATTCAGGCCCTTTTTAAAAATTTCATGTTTTTCTGACAGTACATGGCCAAAAGAAAGGGGAAAAGCTCAGAACAGAATTGCACTGTTGTTTTAGTTTTAAGTAATGTTTCTGCTATTTTCTTTGTTCTTATTTGTGATGCTCTTATTTATAAGGAGACTTGTAAATGATCAAGTTTTCAGTCAAGGATTTACTCTTTTTTTTCTGCAAATCTGTATTGTGTATGGATACTTTGCATTTTGGGGAAGGTAATGGGTCTCTCTAAAACTCTTTTAAGGAAAAACCTGATAACCTGGAAGATCATAGTTACCATAGGCTCTCATTTACATACAAATGCATCACTTGTACTAAGATTCTAATATTTTTGGAGACTGACTTTTAATGATTTATGTTACTTTTTGGTTTATAAGCCAGGCCTTTGACAATATTGCATAGACTATAATTATAAAATGAATATAATTTGAATATGAAAATGAATATAAATATAAAATGAATATAATAAGTCTCTTTCTTGTGAGCTTACCTGCACTTTGTCAGAGTCTTCTAAGTGATAAATAGACCATAATGAAACATTTTCCTTCACGTATCAGCAGTTATTTTTAAAAGCAATGTGGTCTCCAGGATATATCAAATGATGCCTAATTAGACTCTCATCATATGTAAACATATGGAGTTAAGTGAAGCTACTTTTAAATATGATAATGTAGAACTCAAATTCAGATAATTTACACCACCTCCATAGGCAAAAGAAGAGTCTTGTTCAGCAATTACCTCCTTGTCCAAGTTAAGAGATAAAATGTCAAGCTTTAAGATTTAAGTTTTTCTCTGCATGTCAGATTTAAGTTCCCGTCTATATCCGTTATATAAGCATATCACCACTTAACAATGCCCAAACAGGAAATATATGAATCTCCACATTGTGAAATATGCTATAGCAGGAAACGTGTTATAGCCTAAAGTAGGGTACAATTTCAAACTGCTATTTACCTCTGAGTTCGTCTAGAGAACCACAAAATGACCAGTGGCCTTCTGTTTAAGTGTTTGAGGTTATAGGAATCAAGCATTTTATTTGCCCTTTTCTTTATTGGAAAAGCACAAATGAATGTTACTTTCTGGGTCTTAAAATCACATCCCTTATTGGTGCCCTGGCATTGACTGCCCTCAGGCAAACTGTGGAGGCAGAAAAAAATGTTTCTAGTGTAAGGGTTTTGCATCATCTTGCTGATCTTGCAGATGCTGGTTTTTCATTCTAACTGCAGCCATTGAATTGAAATGAAAGGCATCATAAAAATTGGACAACCCTCCACTTAGCAATGTATTATATAAATGGTTTAATGAAGGAATCTTGAATCAAAGCTCTGGATGATTTGGTTAATTGTACAAGTTAAGTTCTTTCATGCCCCCCTTGATATTGCTCTGGGGAGGAAAAGATGCTGTGATGTTCATAAAGTATGTATAGTTGCAAGCATTGGACTATTAAGGGAGTAATTACTTGAGTATTTTCCAATTTGCAACCGTAAAAAGGGTTGAGTGGAAAAGATCTCTTCAAATTATGTGCTCAATTATAAAACGTTTATGGCTTTTGGAATTTATACTAAAAATGGCTATCTCTATTTAGGTAATGCGTTAGCTTACGGACAAAATGCAGTAAGAATCTAAGGAAAAACCCTACGATGAGAAGTTTTTGGAAAGCTATGAGATGCTGGAGCTCAAAAGACTCTTTGACCTTTTGTAACCTTATTTAGTTTCAACCATGGGTGTTTAGACTTAATTTTTCCCTCACTCTTAAAGTTATTATATCTCATAATTTAAAATAAAACATCTTCATCGAGTTTGGTCGCCTGAATATAATGACGTGACCCACTTTGGAGCTCTGGAAATATTCAGATACTTACTAAGTTGTACATTGCTCCAATTCAGAAATTCAGAAACCTCTAGGGAATTTTTGCGCATTGTCAGTGTAGTAAACATTCACAACATTTTAAAAAAAAGCAAAAAACAATGGGAATGAACAAAAATGCATCGCATTGGCTAAATTAACTTTAAAGGCCAAAAACTGTGTGGCAGGAGAAAGAATAGGTCCCCCCCACCCCGCCTCCTTTTGAACTTTTAAAAGTAATGAAGACTGCAGTGGGTCAAATTCTGCAACTGTTGCCCATTATGGTTGTTTGTGGTCATGACAGAGATGGAGAAGGTGGGATAAGGAGGGCTAATGATGGAATGAGATGGTCCACATTATTTTGGTTACATGACATTTGTTGTTTTCATTCTCTATCTCAACTAGTCCCTGACACATTGTTTGGCTGAAGAATGAACCTCAGGAGTGACTTCAGTACTGAGTTAAAAGGGTGTTCGGGGGCCATACTCTCGGCGTGTCTCCAGTCTCTGTCAGACCAGTAAATCTGGCCTTTTTTTTGTCGAGTTAGAATTTTGTTTTACATTTTTCTCAGCTCTGTCCGGGACCCCCTATTGTGAACCCTGTCAGAACAGTCAGTGGTGGGAGTTGGCCACCATCTAGTTGTGCTGGACTCAGTCTGATGAAGGCTGTGGTAGTTGTTGTCCATTGCTCCTTTGGACTTAATCTTTCCCTTGTGTCTTTGGTTTTCTTCATTCTCCTTTGCTCCAGATGGAGTGAGACCAGTGGAGTATCTTAGATGGCCATTCACAAGCTTTTAAGACCCCAGACACTACTCACCAAATGTAGAACATTTTCTTTATAAACCATTTTCTTTATAAACTATGTTATGCAAATTGAGTTAGATGTCCCCTGAGACCATGGTCCCCAGCCCTCAGCCCAGTAATTCAGTCTTTCAGGGTGTTTGGATGTGTCTGTGAAGCTTCCATGACCTTGGCTTGGTCATATTCTGCTGACTTCGCCAGTATTGTGTACTATCTCACCCTTCACCAAAGTTCCCACTTATCTATTGTCTATAGTTAGTATTTTTCTCTCCCCACTGCTCCCCTCCCTAGTAACCATCAAAGATTGTTTCTTTCTGTTTGGGTTTACTTTTTTTCCCTAGTAGAATTTTCTCTAGTGGAATCACAAAATTAGAACAAAAATTTTTCTTTCACATTTTAATATAAGTATGGCCTTCATGTATCTTTAAGGTAGAGGAAATTGTCCATTCTTTTTAAAGTTAGAAGTTGTGAGTGAGTTGTTTGGGGTTGGACTAATCAGGAATCATATGTATTATATCTTACTAGAGAAAATCCAAAATATAGTTAATTATTATATATATTTTATACAATATTTTTTTACTTTTCTGTCTAGTCCATGCAGTGTTCACCTTGTATCCAGTTTCCTCTTTTCACGTCTGTCACCCTCTCTCTCTTTCCTTCTTTCAAGACCTACCTGGATGATTCTACCACTGCTCTCATGTTCCTAGTTCCATGTAAAAAACACTCCCATGTCTACAATTCTAGTTTCTTTCTGTGTACCCTTGCTGGGATAGCCTTCAGCCTTTACACGGCATACTTGAATGAGTTTAGGATTTTCAGTGTCTTCAGAGTGGAACATCCATGAACAAACCTTTTTTATGGAAATTTTTACTGCCATTTATATTGTAATATTGATGGATTATTGTGCTAATAAAAACCTTTTCTTCTTACTAAGTCTAACTACAGCCCCATTCAAACTTGTGACATAGAAAACAGAAGATAAGAGGGTAAAAGAAAATTAAAATCTCATCTTTCCACAAATATTCTTTGTTAAATACGTAGACTTGAGGTAGTTAAGACATGATTTCTGTCCTTAGCAAACTGGTATTTTGGAGTCTGACTTTGTGATAAGTTGGTGTGGCAAGACCGGCATGGAATTGCACTAACTGGCATCTCACTGCTTATTAATTCTACATTCCTGGCCTAAAGGATGAGAAGCACATGCTTATTTCATGTGGCGCTTTAGTGGTGTTACGATTTAGTTTGGAAGAAATTTTCATAATCAAATAACCAAATTTTATCTACAAAAGAATTAAAAATGCAAAGAAAATATAAGAAAAAAATCCATCTGTATGTCGTCATAATATGGACAATGTAAGAGCGCTGAAATTTCATTGTATATGAAATTCTAAGTGCAAAGAATATACTGTACTTCTATATTGTACCGCGTCTTAGAGATTCTTCCTGGTCCTAATTTTAAAGACCTTAGTGATGAGGAAAAAAAAATGAAAGAAACTTTATTAAATCACGATCTCAACACAGGCTCAGACACACTAAAAGAAGAGTTATCATTGGTATTCAGTGAACCCTACTATCCCATTTGGCAAAGAGCAGATTTTCCTTTAGCATTAAGAGAATGGGCATGGTGATATTTGAGGAAGCCAAAAGAGAAGATTTAAGAAATATTACAAATGAAGGATATTGTGCGTGTGAGAATTTATTTCTCTCTGTTGGAAATGGTCTACATCTTTTTAATTATTCT